CCTTCCCTCCAGGCCACTCCAGCTCCCTCTGGAACTTACAATTTCCTTACCACATCAAGCACATGCCCCCGCAGAACTAGAGATCCCCAAATCAATCCTCTCAAACCCCTTGACCCCCTCCCCCAACTGCCATGACTGATCCGACCCCAAAATCAGCCCGGCTTCCTCTCCAGGGTAATACGCTCCACAAAACAGAACTCCCCAATCCTGGTCAACGCAAGTGAAGTTGTCAAAAACTATCGCCGTGATAATCTCCATGTACCGGCTGTGGTTACCCACCAAAATCCTACCTCTTCCCTCTTTACCCTTCCCCACCACCACCTCTGTGTCACTCCAACTCCCTCTGGGACTTGCAATTTCCTTACCACATCAAGCACATGCCCCCGCAGAACTAGAGATCCCCAAATCAATCCTCTCAAACCCCTTGACCCCCTCCCCCAATTGACGTGACTGATCCGACCCCAAAATCAACCCGGCCCTGAAAAGGTCAAGCCCACAGCCCTGGAAATCTAAGACATCAATACAATACTTCAGGAATTTAGAATTTCAAACCAAAACGCCGACAGCTAAAGTTTCGGCTTCTCGCTCTTCAAATCAGAACAAAATCAAGAGCAAAAGGCTTAGCATGTAAAAGGATTGAAAATTTATTAAGCATAGAATTCCGCTCAAAATTAGAAAATCCATTTCAAATCAATCTCGGTAATCGTCCCTTGAGATCCGAGCAAAAACTCTGATTTACGAACTTCATACTAGGAATACTACTCGGCCTACCCCATTTTCTGCATGCAAGTTTGGGCGACACGCTGCTGGAGCGCCTGGAGGAGCGCTAGTGTGCAGCTCTGGGGGAAGGGGAGCGCCCAATCCCCAATCGTCGACTATGGTGGAAGGGACTTGGTAGGAAGAGGAGGAAGAAGGGGACGCGGGAGGAGAGCGACAGGGTTACTTACCTGGCTATGGTAGGCACCATCCTCATCTCCTGGGTAGGCGCAGCATCTGGAAGGCCCCTAGTGGGGTAGCACCACTTCAAGAAGGCTTCAAGGCAGAGTCAGGCATGGCTCCCTGAAGATTGTAGGACATAGCCGCTTTTGCGTTGTCTTTTGAACATCGGATAAGGCCCTTAGTAGTCTGCCATAGCCCAGACCTGCCGGAGGTGGAGGAAGATGGAGGCCACGGCTATGGCGGACCTCATATTGTGTTGGCAGTTGAAGAGGGATTCGGACATTGGTTCTGGCTCAGCCAATCATCGTTATTATTATAATTTATTGTTTGAATAAGAGAGGAGAGATAAGGAGGAGGAGTTGGTTGGCGAGAGGAGGGGGAATTGTAATCGGTCTTTCGCTGGTGTACATCTTCTTCTTCGTCGTCTTCTCCTTCTTTTGTCTCTCTCTCCTCTCCAGCTCATTCATTTCTTTTTGCAATTGGACGGCATTGTACTTCCTTGTGTTTTTTGCACTTCGGAATCGGCCAGGATCGTAACACTGGTATCGGAGCGGATTCTACTTGCTGGCGAGAATTGGCTTTGCTGCCCCAACCCTAAACTAAGTGGTTGAGGGCACCACTTAGGGTTAGGGCTGGAAGTTAAGGGCAACTTGGCAAGTGGGGCAGCGTGGTATGGGGAAGCTGCCCCCACCTGGCGGGGATGTGTAGGGTCAACATATGACCCAGCCAGGTTGCATGAGTTTAAGTTTGGGGTGGCGACACACTTGGAGGAACTTCGTGCGACAATTTTGGAGAGGCGACAGTGAGAGGCACCCACACCTGGAATCTGGACTTAAGGGAGACACTGGGCGACTTTAGGGTTTCCCTCAAGTAGGCGAGCTTGAGGGAAGTGGCCATTTCTGCATTGACGGACTCCAAGTTCCTACTTTGGTCTTCAACATCAGCAGGGGATCTGACGTTACTTTGCTGTGTAGAGTAGACCCTCCTAGATGATAAGGACACTAGTGTAGAGGTTGCTTATTGGGTCAGAGGAGGACCGCATGAGAGGGGGGGGATGAGTTATACTTCATCTCGGAGCTCAGGCCACTCACGTAAGTGTCGTGCACCTAAGGGATGCCCATGTGTGTGCATGGTATTGCATGTCCTGTTGGGGAACTTCTGGGTCTCTTTTCCTAATCCTCTATGGTCTTGATTGTGTGCATGAGCTTGTAAACATCCTCCTTGTATTTATGCAGGATACGTTGCCAGTACTATTGGTTTTTGTTTATGTGTATCCGGAACTCAACGAAAAAAACACACTGCGCGCGAAATCAATGAAAGTGGGAAGCTGAAAGATCACTGTGGAAAAAGAAAGGCAGTGATCTTACGTTCTGTGCTTCGAACCATAGCACGACCTCTTGGAAGTGCCTATTGGAAACTGATACAAATTTGGATTTTAACATGCTGGTGTTTTTTAACTGTCGGAATACTACTGGGAAGTTGGTTTCTCTCACCTGATGGATGGAGGGATGGAGTATGTTGATTTGAGCGCCATATTTTTCTACAGTGCTTTGTCTTTTCATTTCTGAACAGCTGTAGTTAGTAGCTTCCCTCTGAAGTTGAAGTTTGTTATTCAGTACGGCAGAGGCAGAAAGTAGGTCCGTTAGGCCCAAATCTGTTGACGTCGTTCACATTCTGTGTCTTGCTGGAACTCAGAGTTGGTACTATTGGTCGGAGCACTCACTGCCAAGGGGATCTCGGCTGAGACGTTTTGCAGATTCTATCACACAGTCCGCCGCTTGGCCGCACATTATACACCACTCAATTCTTCATTGCTTCATGTTGTTGCTCTTTGTTTTTGGTTCGCTGTACGTTCAAGGAACTGAGCCAGATTGGGCAGGAGGGGATCTCGTACTCGATCTGGCAGTGGAGTGAGGAACCACCCCACAGTCCCACACATCTGCATGTGTGTTGCAACGTTGGAGAAAGAATGGAACAAGACACAAGCAGACCCAGTGGAAGGGGACAATACCAATCACACCCCCTCGACAAATCCCAATAGCACCACAAGACAACCTGACCCGTCAGATGTGTGGGGACCACAACCCCAGGCAGGGAGCACATGGGGCTGCCACACGTGCTCTTAAACAAGTCAGGTGAGAGGGAAGGCATAGCCTTCTTTCTCGGTCAAGGACTAGACTGTAAAATACAGGAACTTCGGGGATAAGTCTGCAATTTTCCACAGAGAGTGGACGAGTACATGACTTTCAACTTTCAAGGTGACAGGGACACATGTGAGATTTGGTAGGGCCTGTTAGGGATTGTCCAGCAAGTACAGGTGAGATTGATGAGGCAGGTAGGCCTTCGACCAAAAAGTAGTCCAATAGCTGTCAAGTAACGCACGATTTCAGATGAAGTTTTGGTGAGATTGATCCAGTACCGGGTATACTATGCAGGCTGAGATGAAAGGTTCATCCCTTTCCCACCAAATTGAGCAGTGGTAGGCCGAGGAGTTGGCCAGCAAAGCACCTTGGAGGCTGGGTGCCAAGCAAACAACCAATCGAGATAAAAGGCCAAGGAGGCACCTGAAGGCATCGTTGTTTCTCTTTGTTGCCACCGGGCTGCTGGGTGAGGAGCAGGCTGCACCTGATAAAAGGTGAAGGTGAAAAGGGGCTAGGAGCTGGCCTTAACGGGGTATGGCGGTGCGCATATCTTCCTGTACACAGAGAGAGAGAGAGAGAGAGAGAGAGAGAGAGAGAGAGAGAGAGAGAGAGAGAGAGAGAGAGAGAGAGAGAGAGAGAGAGAGAGAGANGAGAGAGAGAGAGAGAGAGAGAGAGAGAGAGAGAGAGAGAGAGAGAGAGAGAGAGAGAGAGAGAGAGAGAGAGAGAGAGAGAGAGAGAGACTCTGCAGCAACATTTGGCGAGAGCAGAGTTGTGCAATGACTTGCTGTTTTTTTATTGCCTGTAGCCTCTCTTGTCGAGGTTGTACTATAGGTAGGATAGATTCGTAATTTTGTTTGGCTGAGGGCTAACCGAGAGACCTACCTGTAGGGAAAATTCTTGACGGACATATCTGTAAATTCGGGAAAAACACGGGCCCGTACTAACTGAAATTACCTACAGCTACCCTAACTGCGAATAGCAGGCCCGGGCTATCCCTAGGACAGACAGGCCCTACGGGCCTAAGCTGATAGACGGTCCTATAGCCTATAGCCAGGTAGGGAAAGGCCCTAGAGGCCGAAACTGAAACGGTACCGGTCGGTCCAGTCAGTCCGGTCTAGGTCGTGTCTAGGCTAGTGTAGGTTATAGAGAGGAGGAGGACATTGGTCTGGGGCTTTTGGCAGTCCGGACCGAGTACATGGCTGCTGTGCAACGCATGAACTGGAGGTGGTGACAGCTTCAGCGTTGGTGAAGACAGACATAGCCGGACCTGTCATATCGCATGGTCAAGTCTTCGGCGGTGTTCATCTCTCCCTGTGCGGTGTTGATACTCCTATCCTCTCCCCTTCCTTCTGTGTATGTATGGGCATACCTGGAAGTCTATGTGAGTGAGTGTTGGTCTTCAGACAACAGACAACCAGGTTCATAACAGTTGAGAGAGTGTGTGAGAGGTAGTAGGTTAGTATGGGTCGGTTGAGTTGGAGAGTAGCCCAGGGAGCACATCATACTAGGCATTTACATTGTTGGAGGCGCGAAGAGGGATTTCATTGTCAAGAGACTTCAGTGTTCAATGTGTTCTTTATCTGGTATGATCTCGGCTTTGTCAATCTACTTTCAACTCGGCTAGTCACGACTGGTCTTCTGTGGGCTTTTGCATCTCGAAACTTTTTGAGTTCTCATTGGACGGTTACTTGTCGATTCTCGACACATTGTGAAATGAGAAAATCTGAACTCCTTTTCCAGTGAGGGATCACCTCCGTTTAGCTAACCCTGCATGCAGCAGGGGTGGTAGGTTTTTGCCAGTGCTCACTGAATCAGTGAGCCTGGATGGCGACTTATCTTTCCTTTTCTTTTTTCTTTTTTCTTTTTGAATCACTATGCAAGTCATATGAGGCACATTCAGTGACTTCAGTGGTGACTCACCCAAACAATGCTGGTGTCCCTGGGTCACCAAATTCTGCTGATGGTGCAAACCGCACTCCGCCAGTGATACCCCTCGCAACTTCTACAAGCACGTCTCCGATCAAATTTGCTGCAACCACTGTGTCATACCTTGTGGGGTTCTGATGGAAACCAGGAAGGGAAAAAAAAAAAAAAAACACAAACAAAAAAATAGGCAACCACACGTGTAGCTCAGTTGGTACACCCAATGAACTGTTGAAATACATAGTCGGGTTCAAATCCAGCTGCAATCAGATAATAATATTAATAAATAGTGTTCTCTTGGGAAAAAAAAAAAAAAAAAAAAAAAAAGGCAACCACACATGTGAGAAGGAGAGCAGCAAAAACAACAAAAGAATGCCTTGTTGGGCCAATGTAGGCTAGTGTGATTGACTAACAAATGTCGTCATGATTTCTATCTATCTGGTTCTCAACTTCTCATGCTTGGACGATTAACGAACGCCATCTAAAGCAGGTATGCCTCAAAATCACAGGTAAGCCTCGAATACCTAATTCTCAAAGCAAAATGTTGGCTAAGCACAATAACCCGAATATTCGCACATACATCTTGCATCGTCCAGGTCATTTCAGTGCTGTTACCTTTCACGGACCCCATGGGACAATGGGGGTAGGGTGCACACAGTGGGAAATATTAACTTTTCTATCGTCAGGCGGTAGAATCTCATTTGGTCTGGCTAGTCGATCAGGAACAGTATATGGATGTGCACTCACAAGCTCTACAGAGCCGCTATAGTAGAGTTCGGTTAGCGTGCACACGGCATAGTCTCTGCCCCAAACACTCTGAAGGGATTGTCACTGCCAGGCTCTGTCGTGAAAAGTGTGACCCATTGTCTTGTACTCATCCCCCCCAGCCCCTAATTACTTGCCCAGTATGCCATTGTGCTTTGACATGCCACGCTTAAATAACTGCGAACAGCAGTCTGCTTTCCTGCTGACATGTCAGCAATATGCCATGTGCCATCAATGTTTCCGGAAAACTGTCATAGAAAGTATGTGTCTTTACGGCATGTACTATCCCGATGCCGTCACCTGCCACATCCTCTCCTAGCATGTCCCGCATGCAGCGTCGGGGATACACCTGCTGCAACCTCAGCCGGATCTCCTTCATCCTCGCCAACAATCGACATAGCACAGCCCGAACCCCTTACCGAGCGCTATATTCATAGGTTATCACCACCACGGCGTGTTGTTGCAGACCAAATCCTGCAACAGCTAAACACCCTTGTTTTGGATCAGTTCTCGTCTTCGTCTGTCCATAGAGAGGAAATAACGACTGCGGAAACCCAAGAAACCTGCTCAATGCCGCTTTGTGATGACCCACCCACCTGAGATTTGCCTAGCATGTGATTTTGCATGCCTTGTGTTGTTGTGAGGATTACGAAGGCATAGTCCATGCAAGTTCTTCTTTCATATGTATGATGACAGTCAACATTGCACTCACATACGGCACCTTACATGCCATGCCCAATTTGCAGACAGGGGCCGGAACGGCAATGCCTATACAATTGCGGTCAGCGTGCCTCTGTGTTCCTAGCATGTAGGAGCCACGTAGCCTGTGACATCTGTCTACACTGTGCCATTCAATGCAGCAACTGCAACTGCGAGATTGGACGCGGTGCTTCAACAATCCACACCACCTGAACTGGTCCTGTCCAGTCTGTAGGGGTGGCCACCTACCTTAGGCAACGGCTTCTCCTCAACTCAAAATCTCCTGCAACCCAAACACTGACTGACCTCTCGCGTCATCATTCTAGAGTAGTCTGCTCCAGCGGTGAGTATCGAGAACCCTCTGACGTTCGTCATTCCTCTGACAGTGTTCTGTTCCCACCTCTCTCCCACCTCTCACTTCCTATAAAACTCCACCTCCTACCCTTTCCTTCCTCCCTGCCCTTGTATACTACTAATAAATGCCTACGAATGAGCATCATTAAGAGAACAGACAAAATATAAGCTGAAGATCTGAAGAAAAATGTACAGGAGTATACCCCCCCTCTACTCTGCCTTCTATCATAACATGCAAGTGTGTTGTTAAGGCACACGGGGATGTGGGAAGCCGGCGCTCAACCACAACCAACGTGGCCAGCCTTGTACGTTAGAGCCATAGTAAAAGGGGAGCTGCAGGAACAAATAAAAGGGGTACCCCAAGGAAAACTGAAGTAAGGATACTTAAGAAAGGGAAATAAATTCAAATAACTGATCTATTGTGCTCCGTGTTGCTTGCTAAGGAGGTAAAACTGTTTCGCTGTTGAATTGGTTCATCTCAAGTGTGCTTCATTGTCTGCAATAGAGGTAAAATTGCTTTGATTTTGGATGTACTCATCTGGGTGGACAGGGGCTGTTGTGGTGAAATCTAAAACACACACACACACAGTGCCACACACATACAGGACAGACGCAAATGTGTTTCACGCACATCTCCACGCACGCACGCGCACACACACACACACACACACACACACACACACACACACACACACACACATTCACACACACACACAGAGTGTGGTTGCTGAGCCCCTTCACAAACAGACCCCAGTTAACCACTGCCCAATTTATTTGCTTTTTTCGTAATGGGGGTTGTAGTTTTTTTGGGGGGGATGGGCAGGGTTTGGCCCCGCGCCCCCCTTTTTCTTTTCATACCCCTATTTTCGCCTGTGCACAACCACACATTGCATATTGCACATTCACAACTTGCGCACATATCACTCATCACAAATATGTAATTGTTATTAGTCCTTAAATTGGACTTAATTTAATCAAGATTCAAGACACAAACAAATGGAAACATTTTCAATGTTATGAATGCATTCAGTCCAATCCACCTGTTCCCCACAGAAGGTGTTTATCAGTGATACCCTCCAATCCCAGAATTGCCAGAGTTTAGGGAGAGACACCCCCCCCCTCTCTTTTTCTCCCCATACATCTTCCATAGTGGTTATTGTGCCTGATCTTTTACTGACCTGCACAAGCCGCGTTGCAAAATAGTCTGCCAACTCATGATTCACCTCTACATCTGCATACTCCTCCTTGGCAAGCTTGGTGACGATCTGTAATGGAGTAAAAATAGCATTCAGATCCAAGGATATCAGAAGAAAGAGCAACTAGGTGTGGTGTTGCATACTAGTGAATACTTCACCAAGTATGGGCAGAACCAAAGATAACCAATATAGGATGAGCATGTATACAGCGGAAGTCCGAGAAACGGACTGACTCACATAGACTGAACTCATCCAAACATCACTCAACACACAAGCAATCGTGAGATGGTGGGGTCTGAAGCCATTCATAGACAATGCTGCAGGCCCCGTACAACCATACACAGATGAATGGTGGGAGGAGAGACGACGTAGGTGGGAGATATGGACAGCGCCAGATGTCACTGAGATAGAATCCAGAAGGTCACCGATATGGTAGCCCAAAATGGCACCGAACAAAATCAGAATGTCATGGACATAAGTCACCAATGTCGGAGGTACAGAATCCTAATGTAACCAATGTCCGATCTGTGATGCCGCCAGGTATCAATCCCAACTGTCTCCAATGTCTCGAATCCGGTAAGTATCACAGCTTCCTACCACCGAAGTCCAATCTCTGATCTCTGTCCAACTCGTATCGATAGTCTCCAGTCTGAAGAAGAAGAAGAAGAAGAAGAAGAAGAAGAAGAAGAAGAAGAAGAAGAAGAAGAAGAAGTCTGAAGTAGAAGAGGAGGAGGAGAAGAAGAAGCCTGAAGCAGAAGAAGAAGTCTGAGGAAGAAGAGAAGAGTCCAAGAGGGGCAGAGGGGAGGTGGAGAGGTCAAGTCCGCGCCCAGTCTCCTACCTGCGGATGCAAGCTGGTGCCTTGGAACTGTCGAAGACCCGCGGCTCCAACCTGGAGCTATGGCGCTACGCAGGTAAGCCGGTAGGGTCCGTCCGCCACCTCCAACCGTCACTCAGCGCTAATCAGCGCTGCTGTGCCTGGAGCTGCGCTAAACCCAGATTAGANTGCAGGTAAGCCGGTAGGGTCCGTCCGCCACCTCCAACCGTCACTCAGCGCTAATCAGCGCTGCTGTGCCTGGAGCTGCGCTAAACCCAGATTAGCGCAGCGCTATTCCGTAACTGCTGCCGTACTCCTCCGGTCCCTGAACAGACTGCCGCTGGGTACTAAGTACCGTAGTGCCATGTTCGGCCTTGCTGCTTCGAAACAGTGCCGTGGTCTGAACCGTCAGATCCGGTTGCCGATCTGCGGTTTCAGATCGGCCTTGCGGGCGGCAGCCTCTAGGGCCCCGCCGGTCCAACGGTCATATTGTTGGACCGTGTCCGCTTGGTCCTGTGCGACGGGGCCTACCGGGCGTCCTTCCGCATAAAGGTCCGGCCTTTGGACCGGGCCGGCCTGGACTATCGTGTCCAGGCCTGTGGTACCCCTAGGCCTAGTGGTCGGGTCCGAAAGGGACCCGTGTGACATGCAGTATGTAACATGTGGATTTCAATTATTATTTTTAAGTAATCTATATTCTTCTCTCAATCTTCTTTTGTATGTATTCTATCTCATCCTCTCGCTACTCTATGTATAGTACGGGGGAACACCAACCAAACCTGGAACTGCCTGATCACCCTGCATCATCGTGATGAGGGGCTGATACAAGCCTTGCTCTCGCACCACTGCTGTGGTGCAAACCTACCCCGTGGGCTGGGATTTCAATTATCAATTTATCACTGATTTGGATTATCACTTAGCCATCCTTGGAGAAAAGTATAGAACAAGAGGAAGAGGGGCGGAGAATATCGTTGGAACTTGGGAGTAATCAATGCCATCCTCGCTGGTTCCCTCGACCATAACGGAGGGAAGTGTCAGGCAGGTAGCAAGGATGTAAGGGATGCTGGACCTGGTTCCCAGCAAAAAAAAAAAGAGGAAGTTCATAAAGTATCATTTAGTCTCCCCTTTTCTTTGGTGAAGGAATGGGCATAAGCGTACGTTGAAACACACCACGTGATAGTCTCCCCTTTTCTTTGCTGAATGAATCGGCTCCCCTTTTCTTTGGTGAACGAATGGGCATAAGCGTATGTTGGAACACACTTGTGATAGTCTCCCCTTTTTCTTTGGTGCATGAAAAAAATAAAAGTGTATGATGAAGCACACCATGTGATACACTTACATACAAGGATTCAGCCTCCAGGTGTTTAAGAAAAAAAACAGATCAGGGCAAGGTGTTTCAGGAAAAAAAAAAAAAAAAAAAAAAAAAACAGATCAAGGCAAAGTTTACGACGAACTGAA